ATGTGCTTTGGCAGGCGCTACGACCACAACGACCAAGAGCTGCTCAACATCGTGAATGTAAGCGAACAGTTCACCGACACGGCTGCTTCTGCCAACCCCGTTGACTTCATCCCTGTGCTCCAGTATCTTCCCAGCCGTGCCATGAGTTCATTTAAAGATTTCAACAAGCGATTAGTCAGCTTCCCACAGAAGCTTGTCAAAGAACACTATGAGACCTTTGACAAGGTAAGAGCTTGCAGGACCCTCACCTGCACCAGATATGTGGTCCTGCTCTCTGCCCCTCTCTATTAACGAGTTGTTTTTCTTCTTGGACCATTGTAGTCTCACTCACCTGTAGTGTCCCCATGTGCAGCCCAGTACTGCAGTCCTCCTTCTCCTCCACAGCCATGTTTGTTCGTTGACCATCTGATCTGTGCCACCGGTTCCCTGGAGAACCATCTCCTCATTTTCATAGGTTGCAAAAGCAGTGGGGACCATGGGGGCTGAAAGATTATGTTCTCCAGAGCTCGCGTGACCCTGGGCTCCCTCAGCATCAGGTTGTTGCTCAGTAACACCTGTTCCTCTGACGGCTCTGCTGCCATGACTTGTCTTCTCTTCTTCTCAGAACAACATCCGAGACATCACTGATGCCCTCATTGAGCAGTCCCTGGAGAAAAACGTTGACACAAAGAACAGCACACAGATCCCAAAGGAGAAGATTGTCAACCTTGTGAATGACCTCTTTGGAGCAGGTATCTTTTCGCACCGGTCCCTTCTGTTACTGCTCTGTGTGTGACCCATCTTTGTCCAACACCAGGCAGCCAGGTTGGGTCTAACCACTGTCTCCTGCCCACTGGTCTTCCTGGACCTTCTGGGGACACCCCTAGAGACCAGCATGTGACATTAGCTCTGGAAAGAGGCTTCAGGGAAAAGCAAAGGGCACGGCTTAGAGCTCAGTCCAGCTTCACAAGCCCAGGTGGCCTTTCCTGGTTGAGGGATATGTCTGTTGACTGATTCATCTTTGAGTTACTCTGTGGAAACTCCCCCAATTCCAGAGAAGTTATACAAACCTGGCACAACCCAAGGGTGAATCAGGATGAATGGGAGCAGAATATTTTAGCAAAGTTTTCTCTGATGGGATAGAAGCCCAAGGCTCACTGTGTGCCCAGGATGTCCCCTGCCACCTTAGCCATCCAGGACTGCTCCATGCAATGGTCAGGCAGCAAGCCAAGGCACATGCCCTGCGTGTTGTACAGACCTCGTCTACGTGCTTTCCTCTTTCACCAGGCTTTGATGCTGTGACAACTGGCCTGTCCTGGTGCCTCATGTATCTCGTGATGTACCCCAACATCCAAAAGAGGATCCAGGAAGAACTAGGTGAGTCCATGAACCTCCTTCGTCCAGAGCCAAAACCTCTTTGAGAATGGCTGATCTCAACCTGCTCCCTCCTCCACCTCCTGCAGACCAGGTCATCGGCCAGGAGAGGAGACCGCGTCTGTCAGACCAGGGCATGCTGCCCTACATGGAAGCTTTTATCCTGGAGATGTTCCGGCACTCCTCCTACCTGCCCTTCACCATCCCGCACAGGTACGGGCTGAGGTTGCAGAGGAGGTGGAGGTACAAAGTGGACTTAAGGCACCTTGTTACAGTGGTGTGGTGAGGGGCAGGGAGATAATTATGGACTTGTAGAATGATGGCTTCATCACAGACATGGCAAGCCTTGTGCAGGGCAATGTGGGAGCTCCTGAAGAGCAATCCTTGCTTCTGCTGGCTTCACTGAAGATCCTTCACCCAGCTTGGGTTGGGGGTGTCCAGTCCAGCTCCTGGACAACGCAAGTGCCCCTCATAAAGACATGTCTTTGGGCTACATGCTTACTCCAGCAGCACCAGGAGCAAACTGATAGTACACTAACTTTGTGAAGAAGAACCTTTTTGCTTCCCAAACCCTCAGAGTCTTTTCTCTCTCCAGCACAACCAGGGACACGGTGCTGAATGGCTACTACATCCCAAAGGACCGCTGCGTGTTTGTCAATCAGTGGCAGGTGAATCATGATAAGTAAGTACCTTCTGAGGCAGAAAGCACCTGTGGTGACACACCGGCCCCTTCCTGCACAGTTATCTTCCTGGGCAGGCATGGGGTAAACCTGCTTTAAGGGAAAATTTAGGGATGTTCTTACCAAGAGCTCCCATCTTCCAGTGTCCCCCCGACACGCCTGTGGCCAGGAGACACCATCTCAGCATCTGATGTTTTCCCTTCTAGGAAACTTTGGAAGGATCCACAGACCTTCAACCCAGAACGTTTCCTCAATGCTGAAAGGACCGGAGTGAACAAAGAGAATGCAGAGAAGGTGATGACTTTTGGCCTGGGGAAAAGGAGGTGCATTGGGGACTTCATTGGCAGGTGGCAGATCTTCCTTTTCCTGTCCATCTTGCTCCAGCAGCTGGAGTTTAGTGTCAGCGACAGAACAAAGGTGGACATGACACCACTCTATGGGCTGACCATGAAGCACAAAAGATGCATGCACTTCCAGGTCAAGCAGCGCTTCCCCATGAAGAGCATCAACTGAGCAGTGGGCTTATCCATTGCCCAGACATTGCCAGGGGGGCAAAGACCTGGATGTCCTTGTAGCAAAGCTGGGGCTGGTACAACTTTGTGGGATGATGTAATAAACTGAAGGCATTGGAACTCCTGACTTATTTCTTGCCTTTTTCATTTTCCAGCACTTCTAGTGCTGGATATTCCATCAAATGTTGGATATTCCATAACATCCAGCCTTAGTACCACAAAGCACATTTATGGGGTGTGTCAACTGTCTTGGTAGAGAGAAGGGCCACGGTACCCAAACCCAGACCGTCTGGATACCATTGGGCTGTAATTCTTTTAGAATCACTCTTTGATAGCTGAAGGACAGCCAGACCGTGCCGTATTCCCACAGCCTCCATCGATGTTTAGGATCTTGGCTGAAGTGACGCCCAAAGCTTGGGTGGAGGTGAGGATGGTGTTATTGAGGTCTAGCCAGTATCACCGTTTCTGGACTAATCCGGGGACAAATTTTTACTCATTGGCATTTACCTTTCCTGTTATGTGTCTGCAGGGAAAAAAAAAAAAAAAAAAACTTGGAAATTTTGGAAAAACACTAAGACTTCTAAAAGTCCTCTGAGGACAACCTGTTCCCTTGTTTCTACACTATGTTTTTAATTGCCTAGCTGACTTGTGTCACTCAAAGATCCCATTCAGGAGAGGTTTATCTTTGTAGAGGAGCTTAAAGCACTTTGGTGCCTCTTTCTATCTGTCAGACTCTATCTTCAGCCTTGCACCAGGGGTTCTCCTGCTGCTCAGATTCCTTCCTTCAGGAAAATGAGAGGGATCCTTCAAAGGGACTGAGCTGGAGGAAAGGAACTGAGGTGGACTTTGGCCACCTTAACCCTCCTTCACTCAGTCTCTGCCAGCCCTGAAGGACACAGGGAAGGAGACCTTTGCCCCTTGCTATTGAGAAAGTCAAGCTGCTGGTATTCTGGGCTGGAGCAAGGGTCTTCTCACAGCGAGGCAGAGAAGGAGAACAGGACATTCTCCAACTCAAACCCAAGAGTTTACATTGGCTGCCAGTCAACTGATGGCAGGAGAGCCAGATGCCTCCTTTTCTTCAACTTGCACGCAAAGCCATCTTAGCCAAACCTGTACCTGGCAAACAACGATGAAGGAACAAGTATAACCATCTGGTACAACACGCAGTGCTCTTGAATCTGTTCCCATGGGTGGTATCTCCTCAGCCATAGCCCAAAAACCTTGACCAATGAGAGCTCCTTGCATGTCCGAATACCAATCACTCATCATGCATTGCACAAAAACTTCCCAGAAGAGACAGAAATGAAAGAGTCTGTTGGGGAAGAAAACCGGGAAGCTGATTGCCCAAGACTTCAGGGAGATTCCAGCAAGAGCAGGGAGGTGTTCAGACCCGCTGAACAAGCCTGAATAAAAAGGAGTAACTCTTCATCTTTGTATGTCCAGGCCCTGCCTGGTCACCAGTTTGTGATGAAACACTGAGACGATACAGCCTCAGACCCACCTGAACTCATGGAACCAGCCTGAGCAGCTTTGCTCCGTGTCACACCATCTTTGTCTATACTGCTTAATGTCGTAATCCCAATATTGTAAGAAAAGCAAGGGTGAAGACTGGAAGGTCCAAACCATGGTTTGAGCTGTAGGCTGTCAGAGGCCTTGGAGGAAAAGTGGAAGGATGGTTTAGGACAACCCGTGAGCTCCATCACCCACATAACATCTCCCCTACCTATGACAAGGGCCGTAGGTCAAGGCAACAGAGTCATGAACCACAAGGGACATCCCCAAGCCGGCATTCATCTACAGCACAGGGAAAGTGGAATAATCCCATACATGGGTCTGGGTCCCCTGGTGATTCAGAAGAGCAGCCAGAGACCCATCAGCAGCGTGTCGCACTTTCCCTGTGGGGTGGAGCAGCTCTCACGGACTCAGCCTGGTGACTCCAGATGCAGTGGGAAGACTCAATGCCGATGCTGGTGTAGGACCAGAGGCCCCATTTGCCAGAGCCGTTGCGTGACTCTCTTGCCCTGAAGGCTGGCTGTGTTTGCTGATAAGGCCTGCAATCATCAAGTGCAGACATAAAGAAAGAACAGTGGGAATTTTTTGTTTCCCATTGGAGATGAGTGTTTTATAGCCCCGGGGCAGATAAGTGGATTAATATTAACATTACTGAGGTGCAACAGCCCCTTGGTGGTGCAAGGTGTCCCCAGGATGCATTTATCAAGGGCTGATTGCCCCAGGTGAGGTCCCACTTTCCTTGCTGTCCTGCAATCAAACTGTCCCCTCAACCCCAGCCACTTGGATCCCAAACTCAGGCACCCTCTTCACCTCCTCCTCTCCTCTGTTGCCTCCTGATAAACACATCTATCAACCTTTGGCGCGAAAGCCCCAGTTGCTGGCAGTAGGTAAGGGACTCTGGCTCCCCTATCTTTGTCTTTCCCCCAACAATCTTCCTCAATTAAGCCCTCCAATTACTCCCCAGCGAGCTCACAAGTGCCCTGATTTCCTTACTGGAACCAGGAGGGAGATAAGCCGGGGGAGCTTTTATCGCCCCATGGCCAATTGCTCTCATGGTTGGTTTTAAAATGAGTCAGCAGCCCAGCCATGGCAGCTGGGCTCCAGCTCCTCTTCCAAAGGGGGAGATGCTCCCAACCCCCTTGTTCCCACCCCACACCCCTTCTCCCTTGAGCCCAGACCTCTGCCTGGTGCCGGCATTTGGGGTGGTGGCATCTCTCTGCCAGGAAAGCACGTACCCAGCCCTGAAACAGGCGAAAGGAACCACTTGTGGCTCTTCCTCTTGGATGGAAGGAAGAGGGGAGTTGCTCCAACACTTAATGACCCTCCTCATTAAAAGTACATCCTGTATTTCTAACTTCTTTCCTTTGGCTGTTTGTTTATTCTCCTGATCTGTTATCAGGAATCATCTCCCCACAGGGATTAACTCTTGGGTGTCTCCCTTTTGCTGCTTTGTCCCCAACGCCTGTGACAGTCCCTTGACATCAAAAATATCATCTCTTGATGCCCTAGAGGTTAAAATAAAGCTCTGAATCACACCTTACACTATATTTCTGAGCCACGCATGCTTGTTTTCTGCCGGCAGTTTTGGGGACCCCTCCCTCGGAGCTGATGGCAGCCGATCCCTCAGGCTGGTGGGCTTTGCCCCAGCGTCCCACTTACCCCACTGCACCATCAGGCTTTGGGAGCTCCTTCCCATGGTGAAGGAAACCCCCAGACACCACTTTTCTCCTTGCAGCTCCACTCCTGGGACACAGACAGGCTCCCCCATGTCTCAAACCCCAGGAGCAGCCGCTTTGCAGTGGGAATCATGGCTGGGTTCTGCCTTTTGGGGGAGAAAATCTTGGCTCAGCCTCCAACATCGAGCAGCTTCTGGGGTGCTGGAGCTGGTGGGACCTTCCTCTGGTGAAGTATCCTTGGAGTAGGTGCTGGTCCTCTGCTCAGCCCAGGCTGGACCTGTGGATGGAGAAGAGCTTGAGACGACAGAGCTGGACACGTTAAACCCAGTAAGGGGTTCTGCCCATATTTTTGATAGCTCCCAAATCAGTATGAGCACTTTCTCCTCATCCCACCCTTCACCTCCATCTTCCCTCTGATAAGGAGATGGCATTTGGGCTGATCAATTGTCCCGTGTCATTGGAGGTCCAAGGTACCTGTTAATGAGAGGACATGAAGGCAGGGAAGGATGGAGTTTGGCCCCGAGTTAAGAAGGGAACAGCGGAGATGCAGAGATAACCATTCCTTGCACGCAAAGGGCTGCCGGAAAAAACCTTCAGGCTTCAGGGAATGGCCCTAAACCTGGCTGTCCCCTTACCCCAGCACGGGCACGATTGTCCCTGAGGGGAAGGAAAAGAGGGGGACAAGGGTCAGGGGACAGCAGGGGTTGGGATAGAGAGCAGCCCCAGAGACACATCCCTGCAGAGCCAGGTCCCACAAGCACTGGCAGTGTGACCCCAAGGCCCGTGGGGCTGCAGGTGCAAAAAAACCAAACCCAGCCTTGGGAGCAGGATGCGGGTGGGGGGACAGCCAGGATGCAGCCAGGGCTGGCAGTCCCCTGCATGTCCCCAAAGCCAGCGCTGGGTCTGCCGGGGACAGGGGAGGACGGGCTACTGCAGAGCAAGAGTAGATCTAGTGGGGGGGTCACATCAGGGGACAGGGTCCCATGTCCCTCTGTGTACCCCCCCCAACTTGACCCAATAATAAGGGGTCCCAGTTGACCGCTCTGGTCTTGCGCGCCTAGAATCAGACCCCTGAACCCCATCAGGGCAGGTAAAGCAGGGCTGGTGCTGACCACCGGGGACACAGGCAGAGCAGGGGGTCCAACCTGATCCCACCCTGGAGTTGAAAAGCCCCCCACCGAGAGGCAGCATCCCCATCCTGCTCCCCTTCTGCTTTAGTTAGTTTGATTTAATAACCATCCTGGAAACGAAGGCTCCCCTCAAGCCTCTGAAATGGGGCTGCCCTCCCCACCAAAGGGGGGTTTTGGGGCGGGCACAGAAGGAGAGAAGCCCCCCGAGAGCCAGGGCCAGCTGCTAGCGCTGTAGGGGGGGCAGGATCCTAATTCACTGAAGCATTTTTGTTCCCTCTCGTTGGGTTCAGGACATGAACGCCCTCGCGTGGCCTCTGTCACAGCAGCTCCCGAACACCTTGCTTGCTGCTGAATGTGTAGGAGTGAGGCAGTTTTCCCCCTGCTTGGGGTTTTTTTGGGGGGAGGCATATCTGGGGAGGGGGATCTCTAGGAGACTGACCCCCCTGCAGAGCGTTCCACCTCTCCCATCACCCCTGGAACTCCGGGAGCGGCAGAACCACCCAAACCTGGTTCCCTTGAGGGGTTTTTCGGCTCAAAGGTGAGCTCTCCAGGGTGGGTTGAGCTGGGAGATTTCACCCTGGCTTCCCTTGGATGTTCCCAGCCACTGCCTGCAGATTCTCTGCTGTCTAGTACCTCCAAGGCAGCAACCTTTTCCCTGCCCATCACTTCTCATCCAGCCTGTGATGCCTGGATCCCCTGGAAGCACTCAACCTGCTGCCCAACAGCAGCCAGGCGATGCAGAGAAGCAGCAGATCGATGGGGCAGGTGATGGCCCCGCTTTGCTCCTTCAAGC